CCATTTCATCATCACTATGATCCCAGTTATCAGTGCTATCATCAATGGATTGAAAGCTTTCATACTCAACCTCATCAACAACAGGCCCACTGGCATTGGGATCATTGTTAACTGGAATATCAGGAGTGTCAAATTCTGACGTGTTGGTCTGTTCACGATCAACAATATCGCAACCTACATTTAGACCCATCTCAACCTCGGAGTCTGACCGATGAATGTCCCATTCAGCCAAAAACTGATCTTCAGAAAAAACATGTATCCTGTCCTCTGCAACTTCATCCTCTGAAGAATCTTCATCGTCTGCTAGGCCTAGATCACCGGCAATATGATCGGAGTTCAGAAAAACCTTCTTCACAGCATTATTTTCAATTGACATCAAATGGTGGTCAATTTCTACCTTGCGCTTTCTCCAATCTGTCCATCTGGACGTGTGTCCACAGACTAGTCCATCATCAAAGCATGATTTGCATGAACGCTTTTGTCCCCCCTGATCCATAATCAGCAGAGCAAAAGTAAGAAGTCTGACCAACAACAGTTTGACGGATAGGCCTACCGTGCACGCCGTTGGGGAACCAGGCAACTGAGAAAGATAACCAGGCCGAGGGCTGGCCGGACGGGGATGAGCCTACAGTCGCGAAAGCCCTAGAAAAACACAAATAGACCAGGCCTTGAGTTCACGAGTACAAGAAGCACCTATGCAGGGTTCATAGTAGTAAGACACATGTTGAAGGACTTATAAGACTGTTTCTGGAGGCAAAAATAAATCTTTTTTACGCGATTTCTGATAGATCACCGACTATTAAAGGAATAATAGGCCCATTGATTATGCAAAGTTGACGAATGCTACAGTAACTGGCACGTTGTGTAGTTAATAAGTACATTACCTTATAGCGAAACGCGTATTAGTTTGTCCAATATCACTGCTGGTTACTAAGAAATGTCTAATTGAAATCCGCAGTCCAGGAAATTAGTTGACTGACTTGTCTACAGTTTCGAAACCGGATACGGCGAAACAGGTGTGATACAGATTTATAGTGCACCGGACATTTTCGCACGCATGCTCGGCCGTACGCAATGCTAGTGATAGTACAGTACCGTAACTGTATACGTAACAGTTATCTCTAATTGTAATGAACGTGGAATCCACGTACGAGTCACGGACGCTCGTGATAATGAAGTAGGCTGTGTTGGGGGCCAACACTATAGGGGGATCGCAGACTAACCACGTCCACAGACTAAACATGGAAAGCAGACGGCACTACGCATATTTACGTATATTGGTCAAAGGAATACACCTGTGTCCGAAATTGAAGACATGTGGGTACCCGTTCATTAGCACCCACGGTTATTTACTTGGGCATCAATACCGAGAATCGACCAAAGATACATTCTAGCTAGCTTCATTAGTCGTATCAAGCATTCAGGACAGAACCAATTCTCAACTCTGCGAATCATCCCGTCAGCAACATGTGACGTCCCCGTAACCGAATTCGACGCTATTGTTGCTTGCCAGACCAATTTAGCTAGTTGGCCCAGATTACCAGATTCACGATTTCATATTACGACATTTCTCTTATAATGAGCTCAGTGATTATGGAAGCACACAATATGCGTTTGGCTATAAGGTAATGTACTTATAACTACAGAAGGGTGCCAGTTTACTGTAGCATTCGTCACACTTTGCATAATCAATGGAGCCTATTATGCCTTAAAAGTAGAGCTAATAATATTTATATACACAATTGCAGAGCAGATAATTATTCCGTCTCCGTATTATATATAACAACAATCCTTACTCTCAAGTCAGAAACAGTTTATAAAACAATGTGAAAATGGCGCTTGGCGGCAAAACAATAATGACCATATTAAGTACCTTCTAAAGATTTCAGCGACCAAAACTAAGTTACAATAAGGGTGCCTTATTCTTTATTTTTGGTCAAAATAATACTATAAGACCTTTGGAATATACGCACGGAGGACAACCCTGCTAGTCTATGGAGATGCAGAAGTGTGCCTAAACTTGCAGCCTAGCCTAGTGTATAGCTGAACTGAAGCTCAAACTACCTACTGATCGGCTACAACTGCCAGGGAAATAATATGTCCAAAGTCAACCTTGGAGAAATAAAATTTGACATATGTGCACAGCCATTGTACTTACTCTCACGCTACTGTGCCACGCTGGACCATTTCAGTAACTGCAAACCGATGTAGAAACAAAAACTGTGTGCCAGCTGCCAATGAAATGGAATAACTACATGATACAGTCGCGCGAGAGTTTGCGAGAGCGAGCTGCCCAAGGATATCTCTAATCTGCTGGGGACGAACCTTAATTAAACTATAATGTATTTATAGCGAGTGTAGTGAGCTCTCTGAGACTCTACTAAACTAGTGGCGATCGCAAGAGTGGTGAAGTACCTTTTTACTGGGCAGCGACTTAGTGTTTCGGCTGAAACTGTGCATGTCTAAGATTCTCCATTCAATCAAGTACAAATACTAAACTAATAATACTATTACTACTACATCAATAAATAATAAAGAATGTACTAAGGTACTAAGTAAATAATAATAAAAATTAGCTAAGGTACACTAGGGGATCGGAAAATTAACGACGGCACCGCGGAACGGCAATTGCCGTCGGTGCCCCTATCAATCGCCGTATACTGCCCCACTTGAAAATCTTGTGAGTTTACATTCTCAGACTTCATTTAGTTGCACACCTGTCACACTCGTAGCTAAACCGACCAGGCTCTCCGACTGTTACACGACGGAGGAGTGTAACAGGAGGAATAGTGTAACCTCTCGCCACGTAGTGTTAAGCGAGATGGGAACCTGTGGCTAACTCGTAGCATATATGGTTATTTAGCTCCAAGAAACGGTATTGCTAGGGTTAGAAACTTAGAATACCTTACGTTACTGTGTATTGACGTTAGTCAAGCACACAGCTAGCTCCAAGAAACGGTATTGCTAGGGTTAGAAACTTAGAATACCTTACTGTATATTGACGTTAGGCAAGCACACAGCTAGCTCCAAGAAACGGTATTGCCAAGGTTAGAAACTTGGAATACCTTACTGTATATTGATTTTAGTCAGGCACACAGCTAGCTCCAAGAAACGGTATTGCTAGGGTTAGAAGATAGACAATCCCTCGCACAGCCTGGTCAGGATAGCACACAGCCTGGTCAGGTTAATGGTTATTGTCCTAGACTATTGTCAAATCAACTGTTGCTTTCACAGCTTTCATGGTTGACACCCATTGTTACTGTTAGGCTTATAATAACAAGACTTACTAGTATACCACAATTACCTAGCACCTATCTCAGAGAAATAACCAGTTTGTGATTGAATGCATGGGTCAGTGGCGGATCCAGGGGTAGATTGGGTGGCTAGTCACCCCCTCTGTTATGCTAACAATATTTATACATGTATACCAATTAATTATTGCCAAGCGCTGCTGTACATAATGGCACCTCATGCATGGGTTAAATTGAGTTACAACTCTTTTGCAGATTTTTTCACAATTCCAATGTAGAGTTTTGCTGTTGCCGTCATCCAAACGGTGGTCACCCCTTACATGTCCAATAATTAACGCAACTCAAACAAAGCACCCCCTGTACATCAAATTCAATCAGTGCCGTGCCAAGAGCGCAATAATTGTTCTACTAAAAGGAGAATTGTCATAGCCAGAATGAAGGCTGTACATGTACTTAAAAGTGCCATCGATCAAACATCATCTACATTTTCAAAATTTTGTGAAGGAGGACCCCCATATCCCTGTCTGTTTTCCACCCCCTACTTTAGATCCTGGATCTGCCACTGATGGGTGTATAATTGGAATAGAAGTGTGGTGTATAATAAAATACAGTGTGTTCAGCAAAGTGTATACTTGACATTACATTAACTTCTGGAATTCAAAACAAACCTACTGCCACTAGCTATGACAGGAGATACATATATATATATAGANGTGTTAGTACTGTTACTGCTGACGACGTCTTCCACAACACCTGACAGTTCATGTCCAGTACACTGTACAGGCCTCCTGTGCCAGAGCGAAGGGATGCACGTAAGATGGGAAATGGGTAGAGCTACTGCTGATATAGCGCTAACTGTTCACTTCCAATGCAGTCTGAAGCGTTGACATCTACAGTGTGGGAAACGGCAATGAAATTGTGAGTCATTGCAGCCCGGCAGACTAAGCTGTAATTAGTTATACAATAGAACTAAAATGCCAGCGGGCAATATTAACCTCCTGACGTTAGCTGGTGACCCTCAAATCAAACTGAACTGTAGTTTGGCTAGGTTAGGTCGATTATCAAGTGCAAATAAGCCAAAAACATTACCATTTATTAGTTACATTACTATTACATTGTCAGGCTGCACTTGTAAATGTAATAAAATTTCCTCTTGCTATTGAGATAATGTATTGTACTCAAGATTTATGAAATGGGTTAATTTGTCATGTTTATTGGCTGTGAAGGAAGTAAATAATCTTCCTTATAGTCTATTAATGATGACAATTTCCATTCTAGGCATGCACAGTGAGCAGCTGACAACAATAATTTAAATTATAGCTCTAGTTACTATATAGCCTTTATTTTGATATGTAGTACAGCAAGGATAATATGCCATGTTTATTGGCTGTGAAGGAAGTAAATAACTGCAATATTAAGTCAGGACCCCCCCTCCCCCTCCTGCACATTACAGACTAGCTCAGGCCACTGCTCCACAGCAAACATTGACTCCTGGTGTGACCCTGTTTGCTGAGCGATTTTATACTATAAACCACTGTGCAATATTGTATCTTCCTTATAGTCTATTAATGATGACAATTTCCATTCTAGGCATGCACAGTGAGCATTATAATGAGCTAAGAGCTAATGAGCTATATAGCCTTTATTTCAATATGTAGTACAGCAAGGATAATATTTTTAATAACAGATATACAAACAGCTTATTGTGAAGGTTTCCCACCTTTATGTATCTATGCATTTTCATTACAGGGAAAACCAAAGAAGACGAAAAAGTTTGCAGCAATGAAGAGAATGATAAGCCTCAGAGACAATAGAATGTACATTTAAATATTGAGCTTCAAAAAGAAATAAATGCGTTTGTAATATTTTCCATTCTACATATGGTGGTAATTTAAAAAACACATCTAACTAATGAAATAGCTGCATTGTAATTTTCTATGTGACTATGATTCAATGATACCCCAAGCCTTTTGATTTGAGGCCTAGATAATGAAACTTTAATACCACTTCTATCTATAATGTGATCACTAATTTAACTCGATGCTGGTGAAATAGAAACTTGAGACCCCAAAGCATATTCTGTGCAGAAGCTGGGTTGGAACACAAAGCTTTCATAGTCTATATGCAACAGGCCTGGCCTTTATCTCGTGTGGATTGTAACTATACATTTAGTACTTAAATAATCTCATTTGTGATTATTTACCCATACTATTTTAGAAAAGATAAGAAGGACAGATTAAAGAAGAAACGCAAGACACCAAAATCTGACGGTTCAAACTTTTCTATACGAGAAGTGTAAGTAGTTGTTTGATTCTAATTGTTTCATATAGTATTAGTAGCGATAATCTTTACAATTGAATAGTGTTTACTTTATAATCTTTCGCTACACTAAAAGTTAACATTGATGTCTAAAGTGGTATTAAAAAACTTAGAGGGCACTTAAGTATTGTTACTTTTTAAACTGAAATGAAGCTTGCAGAGGCTGTACATTAAGTTATACTTTAGAGTACAATTTGGCAACATGGATTCAACCTTGCTGCCCTAAAAAATTAAGTGGTTCCCTTGAGTTTACTAAATTATTATTTTCTTACAACAACTACTATTGTGTCTGTTCAGGAAATTATGGTTACATGTTACTAACCCATTGATATTCTCAGGCACCCACTGACCACCCTGATAATCATTGGTTTCAGTTGTTAGCATTCATTTCTAACCTCGGAAAAGCAGCAGGCATTTACTGGTTCTGTCTGTCTATAAACTACATGTTACGTCCAGCAAGCGGAGTTTTACTGTGTGAAAAGAAGCTATTTTATGAGTAATAATAAATTCTGGAGGAAAATTTGAACCTGCTTAAATTTATCGTGACAAACTGGAAGATAGCCCTGGTTGCTCGAATCTGATCGGATGGCAGTAGTATACCAATGCCCTCCAGCCATTGTTCAAAGGTTGGAGTTGTGCCATAGATATATTCAAAAGAAATTGATGTTTTTAAGGGTATTTGTTTTCTTGTGTGTAATAATACATGTTATGTATCATTGCAGCCCACAGACCTCATCTGCCATGTTCTTCCAATACAATACACAACTAGGTCCACCTTACAGAGTTTTGGTGGACACGAATTTCATCAACTTTTCAATTAAGAACAAACTGGACATTTGGCAATCAATGATGGATTGTTTATATGCAAAATGTGAGAATAACATATAAGATTAACTATGGAAAAATACGTTTTACTATGTAGATTTCCTGAGGAGTGAGAACATATTAGTGATATTTACACTCAATATATATTTAGTACCCAGGTAACAGATATATGAAAACTATGTCTAGGATTACCAAAAACTTTCAAATGTGTAGGATAACTATAAAAAATATACATGGCATTTCGAATTTTAATAATTATATTATTATAACATCAGTGAAACCTGTGTTCTTGCTATTTAATAACGGATATATTTTGCAGGCATTCCATATATCACTGACTGTGTGATGGCTGAGTTGGAGAAGCTGGGACCAAAATACAGGGTGGCACTAAGAATAGCTAAGGATCCTCGGTTTGAAAGACTACCATGCATGCACAAAGGATCGTATGCAGATAACTGTCTTGTAAATAGAGTTACACAGGTACGTGGCATTTATGTCTATAAATCTATTTATCTATCTATCTATCAATCCATCGATCAATCTATCTATCAATCTATACAATATATATATATATATATATATTAGGGCCGCCTCGCTCAAAATCTCAGCCGCCACACAGAAATTTGTCCAAAACACCGCCTCGCTGACCAATATGGTTCTTCCATCAATAAACTACACTTTATTGAACTAAAATTGAAATATAGCTTAGAATGCACCAAATTGCACAATTTTTTCAAAAATTCCGGGGGGGCCTGCCCCCAGACTCCCCTTGCTGAGCGAGCACCTGCGGTGCTCGCTTTGCTAGGACCTAAAAATGCGGAAATACATCCAAAAAAAAATTAACACCTTACATTTTCGGCCAGGCGAAACACTGTATATATATATATATATATATATAATATCAGGAGTTAATGAAGACAAAGGAGTTTGACTCGTATTTGGTACGCAAATTCTCATGCACAGCAACTCGAAGGAGGCGCGGCAGGGAATTTAGGCCGTATAGTCTAGCTGAGTGCAGAAAATGTGCTTAGAAATTAAGTTTCGTTGTGCCCATGCTGGGTTTAAAAATTAAAACTATTTTACATTTAAACTATAGTTAGAATGCCTTGTTTTTATGGTTGAATCCAGCAGTTTTTTTTTAAATAAACGCTGCGCTTGTAAAATATCTGAACTACTTCACCCGCGGAGGAATGATGTGTATGAATCTTAGCGAGTAAATTGACGCTCCAGCTGATTGTAGCTTTTCGCACATGTGTTTTGCATAGCAACCATTACTATGCAATTGCAGGCAAACGCATGTGTTTACACCTTACTTATCATCACCAATAGTATGTGATAAAGGCGAGAGTTAACGTCGTCATCACCCGGCTTTGTTAGCCGAACAAAAACTTCTTCTCGAGATAACGTACGGGAGACACGATCCCTGCCACGTCTTCTTTGAGTTGCTGTGCATGAGAATTTGCGGCTTGGCAACGCCACACGATGGTAAATAACGTGAAAACCATGTCGTGCAAAAGTATGATTTATGTCAGAACGAAGGAAGCAACGCGGTTTGTAATACTACCGGAAGATAGAATAAGGACCAGTAAACAAAAGAAGCTAATGTTTGTATACATTTGTATTTTTATTCACATCAAACTCGTACGACAAAAATGTAGTGAAATCAGTACCAAATACGAGTCAAACTCCTTTGTCTTCATTAACTCCTGATAATATATATATAGCAGTGTTTCCCCTGCATTGACACGAGCGAGGCGCGCCGCCTTGCTCAAATTCTCAGCCGCCACACAGAAATTTGTTCAAAACACCGCCTCGTTGACGAAACTTTAGACAACTTTAAAAAAAAACATTCAAGAGTCTTATACAATGTGTTCAGAATAGCTTAGAATACACCAAATTGCACCATTTTTTCAAAAAAAAATTGGGGGGGCATGCCCCTGCACGTACCCCCCTAGCTTGGCGAGCACCTACGGGTGCTCACTTTGCTAGGATCTCGAAACGCACAAATACACAACACACACAAATTTACCACCTCACAGACGTTTTTGGCCAGAGGAAACACTGTATATAGTAATATAAAGTAAACTTAACACTGATGTTTATTTATGCAAACCAACTAAATTATTTACACTGTGACATGAACATTGACAAAGACCGGTGAATAAATGAACATCAGTTAATGTGCAATATTGCTTTATATATATATATATATGGAATTTAGCAGGCTTGACGTCAACAGTTGTAGTGCAACTGTGTGCAGAAGCTAGTTTTTATGTTTCCCAAGCATATGACATGAATGTGGTCTATTTGTTTCGCCTTGTAACGCCACCTACAGGTCAAAGAGTAAAAGTGGTAAAACACAGTTCAGCAACTGTGTGTGTAAGAATTAAGTAGTTTTTAGCTCATCTGACATAGTCAGATGCAGCTTGTAGAATCGCATGATCGTCCGTCCGGTCGTCCGTGCGTCCGTCCGTCCGTCCGTCC